CTCCATACACTACGCCTTTACACTACATTCCCTTCAATGTGGCTAAGAGGAAAAGTGTTGAGACCCTTTCCTGCTTGTAGCCTTTTCTTCAATTGTGCTAAAGTAGATCTAACACAAGCTCTACCATTTTAGCTCTCTTAAAGTGCACAACTCTGGACATTCACATCATTGCAACCGCCACCACGTTCTCCTCCAAAGTGTTTTTGTGACTCTTATTACCCATGGGAGGCAGGCAAAAACTGAATGTTTTTCTAATGAAGATTCAGTTTTAGTTACTAGAACTATACACTAAAAAGGGCACATCTATCTTGCAGTATTTTAGCTATACTTCAACAGCACTGACTGAAAACGAAGGACGAGGATGCTATAGGAAATGAAGCCAGTGAGGAATGGGCCCCAGCTCACACAGGGCCAGGTGGATGGACAGAGGTCACTGGGAGCCCAGGTTCCTGGCACCTCATGACCAGTGCTTCTGAGTGCCTCTTCCCAGCCACCCTGCCAGCCACTGGAACTGCTCATGTGTATGCTTCAGGAAGCCCTTCCCAGCCTCCAGAGAGACAGCCGAGAAAGTGCAACAATCATGAAGGTGAAAAGGTACTAAAACGAGGCACTGTCAAAGGAATGGAGGCAATGGCTATGTGCTGTTCTTAGCTTTACCTACTGTGGGGACCTCGAAGAAGCCACAAGGGCCACCATTTTGTTCCTATTTTCGAATTGCTTGGATAATTGTCACTTGACCTTAATAAATTTTATGTGGTGCATTCAATGAACTCTTAGTAGATCTGTCAGCAACAAGAAATCTGTTAAACAGACAAAAGTCCCCAAATCAAGCTCATGGTCTGTGCAAGGCAGGGTGGTGAAATGGACTTACTAGACCTACATCATTTTGGAATATCTATGGCCTCAGGAGTGGGAACATTTATAAGGCTTCTTACAGATGAAACTGGAGATGACACAGATGCTCAATCAATACAGGAAGGGACTAAACAGACTGTAGGGGATCACACAGTGAGATGACATACCCAGGGTCTATGTGAAGAAGTGGGCAATGGTTCTCAAGGACACATACCCAGGGTCTATGTGAAGGAGTGGGCAATGGTTCTCAAGGACACATACAGAGTCTACGTGAAGGAGTGGGCAATGGTTCTTAAGGATGCATACAGGGTCTATGTAAAGGAGTGGGCAATGGTTCTTAAGGATGCATACAGAGTCTATGTGAAGGAGTGGGCAATGGTTCTCAAGGACCCTTCAAGTAGAACATGAATTGTAGATCATGTTCCATAGCATGATGACATTATCCTTTAAAAAAAAATCTATGTGTAACTGTAGAGAAGCAGGCAAGGGTAAGTGTGAGAACTTCCAGTATGTATTCCATACAGCACCCAGAATAATAATGCATATTTTCCTTGTATATGAACCCCACTTTTATGGAACAGTATACCACACCACAATTTTCACTGTTAATCTAGATAATGTAATAGTCCTCATAAAATAAGCTCTGCTACAGAATGGATATGCATGTTATGCCAATTGCTTTTAGACTCTATTTTAAAATGTCTGGTGGCTGCATATATCAGACGGCATTTGGGTAAGCACACATGACTACTGCAAAGGTCCCTTTGTGAGTCACAAGGAAACCATGTAAGACACAAAAGTCACATGCTTAGTTTGTTCTCACTTAAATCATTAACTTGAACCTTATCTTTAGCATTTTTTTCCTGCAAATGAGCAAATCTTTGATACTGCAGTTCAAAACACATTAAAATAGCATGCGAGTAGTACCTTCCTATTCTGAATGCTACATTTGGAGTATGTGCTGGTGCCAGGCAGTTAAATGGCATTATCTGAGTATGAACCAGTCTCGGGTTTTGTTTTCTTCATTTCCAAATTTGATCCTCCCAGAAATCCTAACCAGAAATAGAGACACATAGTTGTGGAGGCCTTTACATTGTTCAAAGCTTTCAGAGGAATGTATGGACGAGCCTTTTGCAGCAGACCGTTTAGCAACTCTTAGCTGCAACTAGTCATTTGAGGCACTCACTCAGCACTGTCAGGGCCCCATTCCAAGCAGCTCTTTGCAGACAGGCTAAAAGGGTGCTCTACTAAGCTTTAGTCTACTTAAAGAAAAAAGGAGAGAGAGAGACAAAAGCAAGATAGTAGGTGTAAATGACTAAGGAGGGCCCCTGAGGGGTGCTCTGGAAAGCGGAAGGTTTGGAGCCCCATGTAGAATGTCTTGATAAGAAGTCTAGACTATCAGCCATCTGCTGGTGGTGAGGAAAACCAGATTATAAAGAAGCTGTATAAAGCCAACAGCTATAGGGACAGAGTGCTGGGAAACTTGGAATGATGTGTAGGATCCCAGCTCCCTTTATCCTGCCCATGCTATTATCTATGACCCCAAGTGACACTAAGGAGTGACTTCTATCATGTGTGCCCCCCCCCCAAAAAAAAAAACTCCCAAAAGCCAGCAGCTTGCAGCAGAGGGCAGACATTTCTAATTTCCAAAAGGGAATAGTAAAAATGAGAACAGGAGGAATAGTGACAGCAAAACGTATGATACCAACATCTACATGGATTTGAACCCCCTACCCTGAATCATATAGTAATTACATCTCCAAACACCACCCCGAGTCCCGCTATGTATAGACTTGCTGCTCACTGTAAGCAGGCAGGACCTCTGACAAAAGACTCAGGGTAGAGAGAATAGGCCAGGCTGTAGGATGTTAGGCAGGTTTCTTCTTATCACTTGTAAGGTTCTTTTAAGGACCAGGGGTGCTCCCAGCACACTGGGAGCTACAGGGTCAACTAGACCAGCCCCACTCCAGGCGCACAGAGATGAAAAGAAACTGCCCTTTATACAGCAAACCAGCAAAATGTTGTTCTCAGGTGGCTTGAACACAGACCCAGAGGCTGTTACTATCCCACTGATGCCTTCTGCTGTACAGCCATGCACTGTAAACAACTTGCACAGTTACCTGACAAGTGGCATCAACCTGTACATGTGACCTCAAGGATTCATTAGGGAAAAGTTAACACATTGATAAAGTTGTAGTTAGTCACTGTTACAATAGCAAGCCGCCTGCTTGAGCTGAGGGTTTTTGGGATGGAACTGGGAAAAGTCAATTTCTTCCTTAGTTCTTATTTTTTATAAGAGTTGAAGAATTAATTATATCATAATAAAATGAGATATTAAAACAGAGGCAACATTAATTTCTATTGTTCCAAAGATAGATTTCCACCCTTTTTTGCCTCCTCTACCTCTTCCTCCTTCTCCTTTTAGACAAGATCTCATGTAGCCCAGGCTGATCTGGAGTTCACTGTGAAATCCCATCCTCCTGTCTACCTTTCAAGTGCTGGCATTGCAGGCATGTGCCACCTGTCTAAAACCTTTTCAAGGTCTTTTTGACAGCAGTCAACTTTACCTTAACTGCCCCTCATTTCTCATTGTTGTTGTTGTTATTTGGTGTTAGTACTGGGAACTGAATCCAGGACTTTGCACATGGTAAGCAAGTGCTCTACCACAGAACCCTATCCCCAGCCCTCCTCTCTTCTAGATACATTTGGCAATCTGGTGTGTCAACATAGCCTCAAAGACACACTTTTATAGCAGGGTTGTTCTCAGGAAGTAAGACCAAGTGACCAGTTCCAAAGAGGGAACACAAAGCACTTCCTCCACTCTGGGACTTTGGGCTCTATCTAGCAAGCATGTGTTCTTCTCATAAATGAATTAGTATCTTGGAGAATTGTAGGCTTGTGCTGGCTTGCATTTGTCATCTTGACACAAACCGTGGTCATCTTGGACAGGGGACCTCACTTGAGAAAATGCCTCCATCACTTTGGCCTTGTGGCAAGTCTGTGGGGCATTTTCTTAACTGATGATTGATAAGGGAGGGCCCAGCTCACTGTGGGTGGTATTACTCATGGGCAGGTAGCCTTGAGATGTGTAAGAAAACAAAGAGAGCAAGCCAGTAAGCAGCCCTCCTCAATGGTTTTTGCATCAGTTTCTGCCTCCAGTTTCCTGCTTTGAGATCCTTCCCTGACTTCCCTCAGTGTTAGACTACAACTAAGCTGAAATGATCCTTACATCCTCGAGTTGCTTTTGGTCAGCATTTTATCACAGCACCAAAAACCTAACCAAGATAAGGACAATAGAACATTGTAGGGGGAAATGCTGACCACGCCCACTTGGGGCTGGCACAGGTGCCGCTTGGGCAGGGTCAGAGTGAGGTAGCAAGGGTTTAAATATCAGAGAGGCACACACTCGGCCCTCTTTTTCCCTCTCCTGCCTGGCTATATACCTGGTCACTGGCTCTGTTGTGTGAGTACTTTCTTAATAAACTATTTGTTATCAATCTAGTTCTGACTTTGCATTGCGTTTGGCTTTAGAACATGAACTCAATGTAAGATTTTAAATGATCTTGTCAGTTTCCTAGTAGATACCCCCCCCACTCCCACCTTTGCCTCATGAGCCTCAGCACCCCCAAATCTCAGGGGTCGTGAGTACATATTCAGGAAACAACAGATTCCATGACAAACACAGCAGGAAATCAGATCCTGTTTGTGCAAGGAAAGAAAAACACAGGGCGGGTTGTCTGGAAATGTCTCAGAGCCACCCAGAAAGATGGCAACTCTATTTCCTGGCACTAACCACATTGGTCTCATTCTGCCTTGGCAAGATGAAGGAGAGAGTGACAGCAGTATCCTCTGCCACCACGGACACAAGCTAGTGGCAAGGAGCACAGTACCAGGACAGGGAAGAGGAGCTTGGGGGGAATTTTGCAGCTGGACAGAGAAGAGAGGCTGTGCTAGCCCTGGTTATTTATTACAAGCCTCACGGTACAGCCAGCTTAAAGGAGGCTGCACCAGACCAATCTTAGTAAGACCCAAAAGTATCTTTATTTTTAGTTTTCCACTAACAAAACCCTTTCTTCAGATGGACCCAATGTCTGAAGATGTCCTCGGTGGAGGCCTGCTTCCTTAAGGGGAGGGATGCTCCTTACCTCAATGATGTAGAGGACCACATTCTTGTAGAAACAGTAGAGGATACACTTGGTCACCCGGTTGTAGCTCCAGGCTCCGTGAACTAGAAGCAGCTTCTCCAAGTAGGAAAACTGAAGAGGGACAGTGACAAAGTTTAGAGAAGCCTGTCATCGAGGAGTAAAAGACACATACTTGTCTTTATGAGCAGAAAATAGACAGGGAAGGGGAGGAAACCATACTCTTAGGTAGCCAATAAAACAACAACAAAACAAACCAATGAAAAACAAAAACAAAACCAGTTCCCCTGAGGTGGGGCTTTCAGGGCAGCTGAGAAGGAAAAATCTCTTCGGTTGACTTAATTATTGTTCCCAAACCAGCTACTGGCCCCTCACTATGACTGCTGTGGAACTCGTCCAACTAAATGCCTTTCTGAGACATAATTAGGCAAAGAAGGTGACTATCTAAACTGTAAGAATAGCACAATGGAATGGGACACCTCCATAAGATCCAGTCACAGCATTTATGGTGACCACAGGAGGAAGGACATTCATCCAACAAAGTTTTGATTCAAGAAAGGTATGCATATGAGTACAGTGTTCTGTCAGTTTGTTAGCTTAAAGCAATTATATTTCTCATAACCCACAGAGGCACCTGGGCAGACCTACCCAGGTGCACATAGATACAGAGACATACAAATGCAACACACACACACACACACACACACACACACACACACACTTCTACATCATGATGTAGTTCTTTATCTTCCACTCAGAGTACCCGGCTGTGCAGTCGGGGACTGCTGACTAGCTCTAGATAGGAGTGATTTAAAGGCTTTTGTAGTCTGAGACAAAGCCATAGTATTCTGATAGCATATACCCTAAATCAACTGTCTCCCCAGAGTTATTCAAGACAGACAATGGCAGGGGCAGATGCAATGTTTTCTGGCAGACTGGGAGCTGAGGGCTGTGGACACACACTACACCTCACAGTCTCTCTAGTTTAGGGAGCCAACAGTGTCCGGCAGCTGATGTGTGTGCAAGCATAAGGCAGACGGCAAGAGCATGGAACCAAGGCTCTGTCCACCACAAGACTTTCTTAGCATCTTTTCTTTACCTTGTAGGGCACTTCCTTTAAAACACAATTTAAGAAAAATGCAGCTACCCATAACCAAAATAATAAAGAACATGATGTTAACTGCAACCAGACATGGTTATCACCTCAATGGGGCAGAGGAGCTCACCCAACTGGTGGTGTTTCTGGCATGGTAATTAAGGAAGAGGCAGTTCAGAGTCTTGTGCTTGGCACAGACTCAGCCCTGAGATGACAGCATGCCTCTGCAGGAGAATGAACAAGGAAATCTGGGCATGGGTATCAGTGGTTATCCTTCGGTAGAGATGGCTACTACCCTGGAGGGCAAAACCCCCCAAATGGACCTAGAAGGTTCTGTCCCACCCCTCTCAGGATGTCTCCTTTAATAAAAGAGGTGGTTTCACTTTCACATCCTACCCACGTGTAGCTTCAGTAAGGAATCCCTTCTCCCTAGACAATCTAAAGAGAAAAGCAGACAAATATTTGCCTGTAACTCCTAGGAAACCTCTTAAGTTCCCTTCCAGCCATATGATGTTATAACTCAAGTATTTAATAATGCTGGGGTGTATAACATCCACAGTTGCTGACAGCAGACAGGAAGCATGGCTCCCATGGGCCTCTGCACAGTTGACTCGGCAAAGTAACGGAGCAGGTGTGTGTGGCAGCCCCCAAGTTCACAGGGGTCTGCTGTTCTCTGATGTCGGGCCTGTGCTCAGCCCTGAGGCCAGTCGTTGGGAATGTAGGTCCTTCAGATTTCTCACCTGTAAAATCAGAATGCCTACTGCCTACTCCAGGAATCAGCTAAGGGATTTGACGTCCACAAAGAAAAAAAAAAACTAACTTATTCAACTTTCAAAGCCACGTGGTCTGAGCAATTTCTTGCTACATTTGCAGAACCTCAAACCAGAAGGCTTGGTAGAAAGCTGCTTTCTATGCATCTCCTGATTTTAGCTGAGCAGGTGAAGAATCCACTGTTCCTTATGATCATGCAGTTAGGGTTAACGTGTTCTTCAAAAGCCTTTAGGTGGTGCTATAGCAAATGCAGGCATTTGGCTACATGGCCCTACAATTGGTTATCTGGGAGAATGTGCCAGTATTTCCTGGGACTACACTTCTAGATGACCTACCAGGACAGATAGCCCAGATATTCCCTAGAAGGTCCTGAGTTGACTCTTCTGGCTATCATGAAGAGTTAGTCATTGCTTAGATTCTTGGAGCACGTGTGAGATCACCAGGAAGCACATCAGAGACAATAACCATGAAACATGTCAAAACCATGCTGCTGACCTAGTTTACAGAAGAATGGACCGAACTCAGCCTGACTGCAGGAGGTTGCTTGCTACTGGCCATGAGTCACTTGGCCCCTGCCCTTTCAGTTCACCTTAGAGCAGGAGTCCTAGAGGGTTTTAGCCATGGCTGCCAAGAGGAAATGTCTGTAAGTGACTGCTTTGTTCTGGCTTTAACCACTCACCCAGAGTATGCAGCACTTCTGGAAGGGAGGTCCTTGAGTGAGAGACTAGCAGAATGTTACTCTGAGAAGAGCTGTTCTTCAGTGAGGGATGCACACACACACACACACACACACACACACACACACACACACACAAAGAGTAGAGGTCAATAGAGGCCTAGGGACCTGTCTACTAGGAAAGGCATATCTTTGCATCTTTGAAATGACAGGTCCAGGGGCCAGTCCACCTCTGGCCCAAGGAAACCCAATCCAGAGAAGGGGCCTCAAACTGTTCAAGACCCACACAACAGATACACCAGCAGGCACTGGCAGTTAATCTAGATGATGCTCTCCCCAGGTGGGCAGAGTCCCTGGGCCAAGCTCTAGGCTGTCTTCTGTGCCAGCTGCCATCACCAGGAGAAGGAAGGCTGACCTGTGCAATGGCGTAATCTGAGTTGTTGGTAGCTTGCATGCCCTCGTTCCCGCTGATCCCCACCCCTACATGGGCTGTCTGGATCATCCCCACGTCATTGGCACCGTCCCCGATGGCTAGGGTGATGGCTTTCACTCGCTTCTTCACAACATCCACGATCTCCGACTTCTGCAGAGGGGACACTCTGTGAGAGAAGAGAGAAGAGGAGGAGTGAGCACAGCAAGCATCCTTCCCAAGGTGACAGCTCCAGTTTGCAATCAGAGGCAGTTACCAGACAACATCTGTAGCATGAATTCTAATTGGTCTTAATAATAAAGCCCAGAGTCAGATATGGGGTAAATGCTGAAAGACCAGAGAAGTAAAGGAGCCAGCCATTAGAGAGACCTCTTATCTCTACTGAATCCTTAGACATAAGGGGTGATCTTGTTCTTACAAACCCTTATACTGAATGTTGTCTCTACAAAACCTCAGACTGAATGCAGTGAGCTCCTGTCTCCTCCCACCTTATATTCCTCTCTCTACCTCCCTAGTGCTGGGATTAAAGGCATGTGAACCCCAAGTACTAGGATTAAAGGTGTACCCCCCCCCAAGTACTGGGATTAAAGGTGTGACCCACCACTGCCTGGCTCTGTTTCTCTTTTAGACTGGATCAATCTCATGTAGCTCAGGTTGGCCTGGAACTCACAGAGATCTTTGTGCCTCTGCCTCCTGAGTTCTGGGATTAAAGGTGTGTGCCAGCACTGCCTGGCCTCTATGGCTAATATGTGATGAGCTCCATACTATGATCTTCAGGCAAGCTTTATTTGTTAAAGTACAAACAAATCACCACAAGTATCACCACACACCTCCAAACCCAATGCATGCATTTTACATTCACATGAGAAGAAGCTTTGAGAAAACAGGAGTTTGTGCTTCTAAGCCTCTGCTGACTTCATGGATGCAATGCTTGTCTCTAAATCAGCCTAGAACGCAGCCAGTTTGTCATCCACTACTGAGTAGAGCCAGTGTCAAGAAAGCCCTCTGGTGCTCATGGGCACAGCCCAAGACCAAACATGTAATCTAGCTACCAGGACCTGTGAAAATGTCATCCCAATAAACCAGAACACTGAAAGAGCCTCCCCATTCCCCTTTGTTGTGTTATGCATCCTGTACAGTGCTGGGTCTGGCAAGGGAAAGTTCCAGAGAATTCACAGAAAGGAAAGAAAATGGGCAGGGAGAAAACAGAACAGGAGTGAAGATTCCATCTGTCTCTACCCAGAGATGATGATGTGTTTGCTGGGCATCCAGGGAAGGAGGCTGAATCTGCATATTCCCAAGCCTGAGGTATTCTGCTACTGGAGGGGCAGGAGCACAGCCCAGAATGGGAAGACCAAAGCAGCCCCTGCCTGGAAAGATGGAACGTGCCAAGATGTCAAGATCCCTCCACACTCTGGGAAGAGACTTTCTATGGACCTAAGGACCCAGTGCGCAGCAATGTTGGCTAATGAACTGTTCCACCACAGTGCAAGCCAGGGTGATTGAAAAGTGCCACTAGCATCTCAGGGCTGAGCTCCTTTTAACCCTGAATTGGTAAACTGACATTTGATTGGGGGGAATTTACAAGTACGCTACCAGTCACCTCCAGAGGGAGGTGCAGCAACTGTGCTCACATGTGGACTGGGTATAAACTAGGTCAATGCTCAGAGACCGGCTTCTTTTTTTCTTTTAAATAATTTATTTTTATTTTATGTGTATTGGTGTTTAGTCTGAATGTATGTTTGTGTAATAATGTTAGATCCTGGAGTTATAGACAGTTGTGAGTCTCCATGTGGGTGCTGGGAATTGAACCTGGGTCCTCTGGAAAACCAGTCAATGCTCTTAACTGATGAGCCAGATCTCCAGCCCCAAGACCTCTTCTTAAGAACTGTGCCACCAGCAAGGCTCCCATGTTCTAGGACACCCTGGGCAGACCTGGGGCTGCAGCTTCCCGGGTCTATATGTCACTCAACTAAGAGGGAGTTGGCCTTTTATCAGGTAGTGTAAACAAAGGATATCACCTGGAGTTTGGCCACTGAGACCTGTGGCTATGAAATAGGGAATGAGTTAAATAAAGCAAGGGTGTTTGAGTTAAAAGTTGTTGGTTTTCTATTGGGTGTTAGAGTTTAGTTCTTAAATTTTCCTACAGAGGCTTAGTGTTAAAGGCTTAGTCTCCAGGTACTGGGAGTGGTGGAGCCTTTAAAAGACGAGGATTGTGGCTGGAGAGATTGCTCAGAGGTCAAGAGCACTGAGGTTGATACCCAGCACCTACAGTGTGGCTCACAACTGTAAGTCTACTTCCAGGAGATTTGGTGCCCTGTTCTGACTTCTGCAAGTGCCAGGCACACATGTGGTATACGGACATACATCCAGTCAAAACATTCATACACATAAAATAAGTTAATTTTAAAGAATTTTTTAATTAAAGAAAGATGGAGCCTAGTAGGAGGTCTCTCAATCATCAAGAATATGGTGTAGTGGGACCAAGTTCCTCCTCTTTCTCTTTTCCACTTCCTAGCCTTGAGGTAAACGTCTTTGGTCTGCTATGCACTCCCTGCCATGGACTTCTGCTTTACCATGGGCTCCAGAAAGCAAAGATGATCAATGATAGAGTGAGGGTCTCCAAGCTGCCCCAAACAAAACAAAATAGAAAAAAACAAAACAAGAAACCCTGACATCCCAAATAACTTTCCTTATGGTAACAGAAAGCAGCTAAAGTGGCCAATAGGAGAAAGCTGCAAGTCACCAGTTTTTGTTTTTGTTTTTGTTTTTTTTCAGTTTGGCTCTGGGATTTGGCTCTGCAGTCATTCAGTCAAGCCTATTGCAATGGCTGACAGTACACTCCATGAATATCCAACAGCTGTCTCTTTCCAACTAGCGAAAGCAAGGGGTATGTAAAGCAAGTGTTACCCTGGCTGGCATTGTGGGAGCATGAAATTCTCATCAAGGATTTGTTACACCCTTACACTATAAGGCCTTGAGAAAATATAAGTCTAGCACATGCTCAGGGTTCAAAACAGATGCCAAACTGCCAATTTCTACAGGACTGACTGGGCACCATTACTCTTCAGTCACATGGAGCACTTGAGTATGCCAAGTTGCCACAGAGCAGAAAGCAGCTCTTTCCTAATCTTAATTTGTGACTTGGAATCATGTACCATACTTAATAAGCGTTCCCAGCATATAATGTGTTCACCCCATAAAACAAAGCCCCAGACCACATCTGAGCTGAGCAAGGTGCTTGGCACACTTCTGTAACCAATTTTGGTGCATTATGAATAAAAACATAAACTCTGAAAGTTCCATCAACTGAAGAGGTAGGCTACATATATACAGAACGTAATAGATTTGCAAATGAAGAATGCCCTCTTGAGACTTAAAAAAAAAAAAAAGGCTCAGTGCCCCCAGGGCGTCTCGGTTTCTATGTCCTGACTTTTTAAAGCTATTTTCTCAAGTTACTTTGAACATGATGCTTAAGTAAAACCACGGGTGGATGCTTTCACAGAATTGACGTCATATATTAATTTACCTGAGCTACAAAAGCCCTGGTAAGTGAGTTTCTCGTTAGGATCTTTCAGGGTAGTAGAAGTGAACGTAGCAAATCTCTTTCCTGCTCAGACACCTTTCAGATGGGGATGGGCCTAGATTATTGACCGGAGTACCAAACTCCCATGAGCTGGAGGGGTTGAAAAAGACTCCTTCCAGAAACATCCAAGAGAATTCCAGGCAGGTCATGGACATCAACCAGCTAACCAGATTTACTGCATACTTTCATTAGCTGATCCCCAATGATTAATTAGATAACTAACTGCAAGAAGTCTGCAGGTCACTGTCCCAGACCAGTGATTCTCAAGTGATAAACAGGGACCAAAGTCACCCACAGACCCTAATGTAGAAAGCTAGGGAAGGGCCTGTGCTGCAGTTTGAATGAGAAATGTCCCGCATTGGCTTATGTATTCAAGCACTTAGTCCCTGGTTGGTGGCACTGTTTGGGAGGGCTGGAGAACCTTTAGGAAGTGAGTCACTTGGGCCAGCCTTTGAGTTTTGTAGCCTGTGGCCCCACTTCCTGTTCTCTCCGGCTTCCTGTGTGTCTTTGGAATGTGATCAGTATTCTTCCTGACTGCTAGGTTACCTTCACATAACTACTGCCATGCCTCCCCAGCATTAAGGTCTAAATCCCCTCTGGAAATGGGAGCCACATAAAGCCTTTCTTCCTTCAGCTGGTTTTTGTCAGGACACTCCTCGGCAACAGAGATGTAACAAACAGCCTGTGATGGGAAATTCCAACCAGCTTCTAGGTAATGTTGAAGTGGTTTGTGTCAGTGGTAATGAAAGTTCTTCCTTGCTCACGTTTCCTAGACACACTTAAATGATACCATGGGTGCATGGAAAAGGTCAGAGAATGATGATGATGTTGATGATAATGATAATATCTTTGCAAAATCATTGAATCTCATTCCTTTTTCTTAATCCTCTCAGAGTCTTCTTCAAAATCAAAACTTAGCCTTAATTTAGTCTGGTATTTCATTTGAGTTATCCTACAAATGTGAGTACTTCACATAAGACGATATTGGGGGAATGTCAGGATGAGACAGCACTTATGCCGGGCGTTGGTGGCGCACACCTTTAATCCCAGCACTCGGGAGGCAGAGGCAGGCAGATCGCTGTGAGTTCGAGGCCAGCCTGCGGGAGAGACCGAGTGCCAGGATAGGCTCCAAAGCTACACAGAGAAACCCTGTCTCGAAAAACCAAAAAAGAAAAAAAAAAAAAAAAAAAAAAAAAACAAAAAAACAAAAAAAAACACTGCACTTACTCTTGCTTTGTAGTGTTGTAGAAGACAATTTATACTAAGCCTAAGACACAGAAGTGCTGAGTGACATACTGCCAATGGATCAGATTTCACCTGGAAGGAGTGCACTTTCCTGTACAGGAAACTATGCTATGATGGGGATTTTTCTAATCCATTGAAATGAAAGACTGTGACATCTTCCTTATAGCAGCCATCTTCCCAAGCTACAATACCTTTCAAGATTTATGTATTGTTACTTAATGTATAAGAGTGTAGCATCTGCATGTATGTAAATGTATCAGGTGCATGCAGGGCTTGGAAAGGTCAGAAGAGGACATTAGATTCTCTGGAGTTGGAGTCACCAATAATCATGAGTTGCC